TTTTCCTGTACAGGTCCTCCCAGGCCATTGGGTATATGCAAAATGAAAATGAAATCAATTTGATCCTATCCGGTAAACGACACTCCCGCAAACATTCCCTCCCCGAGCAGCCGTGTGGGTCTGACGCATCGACCAACGGTCACTACAGACAGGAGAGATGAGGGACAAGAGCATGGGGAGGAGAGGTGTAAGGAACAGGTGAGTGTGGGAGAAGGGAGGAGAGAGGAACAGGTGAGTGTGGGGGGAGGGAAAAGAGAGAGGAACAGGTTAGTGGTGGGGAGAGAAGAGGGGAGGGGAAGAGGTGAGTGGGGAAGAGAAAAGGAGAGGGGAGGGGAGAGGGAAAGAGAGGAAGACATGAAGGAGGGCGGGTAGGAGGGAAATGACTCTCAGAAGGAGCGTGTGAACAGCAGCCCCGCTCCTGGACAGGTGAGCCAGGAGCTGAGAAGGTAAGACGGGAGGTGGGGAATGGGAAAACGGTAATTAGATTGGACATATGGGAGCCAGCCTGGCTCTATCCTGTCCTGTTCTTGGGGTTTGGAGACCGAGTGGGAGCAGTGCCTTCCAGCACTCCCAAAGGTATACAGTACAGCTTCAACCATAAAAGTGGGAATTTTGGGAGCTGGACAGAGTGGGTGTCAACTGGCAACACTTTCTGGTCCTGTGTGTGGAGAGTGGGGGAGACACTCAGCTTTCCATTTGCTCCATGAGTACACGGGCAGTGGGACACTGCTGTGTGCAATTGGCTGCCGTATTTTTCCCATAAAGTAGTTAATGCACTTTACAGTTATCCTGTGAAGCGCATTGAGGCATCTTGACAACGTGATAAGGCACTGTATCAAATGCAAGGTTTATTGTTAAAGACCTGAGTCAGGTACAGAAGGCGGTTTCAGACCCTGCAACTAGTGAGAAAGGCTGGGAATAGCTGGGCGAGTCCGGGTTTCTTTACAACAAAAACAGCCAGTTACGCAATCTTAGTTATGAAACCTGTCAGGCGCTGGGAAGGCAGAACGTGTCTCTAGGCAAAGGTGACCCAAAATCACTTAATAATTTTTCATCTTCTTCTCAATAAGAGAGGCTGCATTGAAAGTGAAGGAACAGGACGGAGGGAGACAGACTGGATCAAGATCACAGCCTTCATGGTGGGTTGTTCACTGCACCTGAAACAGTGCCTGGGGATATTGTTGAGCAATTTCAGTCATTGTTTTGGGTGGAGTGCACCAATCTTCACTCTACTGTAATACATCCAGGGACACTGCCATCATACCACCACACAGCCTGCCCTCCCCCCAACCCCCCCACTCCCTCTGCTACAGACACCAACAAACACTCACCGAGGAGGCAATTATTGAAAGGCTATTAAAATGTAATTCTGTTGTTGTTTTCAATTTTGTTTTTCTCACTATCACCAGATCAAAATCAGATATTAGTTGATCACAAGGGGAACAGATTGGAGAGCTCCAGGAGTAGCAAGCACCAGCCTGACGTGATGGGGAGAGAGCAGGGAATGGGTTTAGAGTAGAGAGCTCCAGTGGGGGAGTGAGCCCCAGCACAGACACGATGGGGAGAGAGAGAGAGCAGGGAATGGGGTTAGAGCAGAGAGCTCCAGTGGGGAGTGCACTTTATCAGGAAATATTCAGTATCCAAAGGGTTAAAGGGTTTACGAATGAGAGGCAGAGAAAACAAGAGCAGGTTAGTGTAAAACTTGTTTGACCGTCAACAGTGAGTTGTGGTTTGAATGACTCACTGCTTTTATTGATGGCAGTCTTGGAATCCTCCAGTGTTCTAGAATGAATCCAGCAAATTCAGTTCAAGACGAAAGCCAAAGTTTTTTCTGAAAGAGGAACATGAGAGGCCATAAGGCAGCACAGGCCCAAGTGCGGTCTCCTTCACACAACCCAGGCACTGGCGCCTCACTACCAGCATTATTCAACCCAGTCAGGTAGACCGTCTCTCTGGGGGATTCAATGGATTAACAAATGGAGGAAGCGGGGGGGGGTGGGGGAAGGATAGAGAAAGTTGTCTCACAAACATTTCCAAGCAGTAATTTGTTAAATTTATTGCCAAAAGCGAAACCATACATGATATGCTGTTGTTGACAATTATTCAATAAAAAAAGTACAAAAATAATCTGAATGAATGTTAAAACAAAGTTCCCTTTCTGAAGAATGGTCCACATGTACGCAAGGAGAGATCTCACACGTAGACGGGCCTGTTTGTGGAAAGTGCGATGTGGGGCAACATGCAGTCTCTGATCACGCGTGAATCAAAGGAAGGGTTTGGTAGATAAATGCGGTGTCCATTGGCTAACATTTGGTCACACACTGGCATTGTTTGATATTGCTGGGCTTAGCAGAGACCTCTTGTATACAAACAATGCTGGATCAACCACGCCAACACCAATTCCCCCACGCCACCTTAACCACGCACTCAGAGAGAACTCAGCCAACACTCGTCTAGGTTTTCTGGACTTGGTTCTACACCCTCAGTAAAAACAATAGCATGCATTCATACAGCACCCTATATAACAGGCAATATCTCAGAGCGCTTTAAAACATTAAACAGGGTGACCAAAAAGTTGTGATACTATTACAAACCTAATAAGTCTTAAATGATTTTTTTAGGTAATAGGGTAGTTAACACAACGTTTTGGTTACCATGTACTGCAGGGTCAGCCTTCATCTCAACAGAACCAGCCATGAACAGGCCCCAAAAAACAATCCAAGATCATTTATTATCATGCGACAGAATGGGCTGACACCAGTGTTAGACCTGTCGGGGCTGGCCAAGCTCCCATTGGGATGAGAAAAATCCCAACCAATACCATTGGGAGGCTGCATGCGTGGCTCAGGGTTAGAAATTGAAAGAAATAAATGCAGCGGAAATCAGACCACACGCCATTGTAAACTGAAAGTATATTAGTGCAAAACAATTACTGAAAACGTATTTCCTTCCACTGAATGTCTAAGGTTCACTCACTGGACTGTTTTTCCTGCTGCTCATATAAGGCAAGGAGTTGTATTGCTGTGTGACTTTATTGCTCACAAAATGGAATTGCCCAGACAACACCATCGCCCCCTGGTGGCAATCCAGCTGAGCGATACCAGTAATGGATCCACCAGCTCTTGCAGGGTTAACTCGACCTTAAGATCCGCTCTGGATCACAGGCCAAACCTAAACATGAGAAGTTTTCTGTACTGTGAGAATGTGGCACACATTGCCCCAGAGAGCTACAACATTAACCAACACCGGACAGGGAAAAACACATAAGCTCTCAGGAACTAAAAGTGGATGTTAAGCTGGATGGAGGAAAGGCAGGAAAATGAGATTAAAAGATCTGGCAGAATTAAAAAGTCACCTGTCTGAATGGTGTAGCAAATCCCTATGGAGCACTCCGACTCTGATCATACAGTATACACAGTGGCGTAAGTTACTATGCTATACCGTGCTACCTCCTCTGTCACTTCACAAGAGCCATTGCAGGCACCTGAGCACCACTGGATCAAGCATGTTGCTGACTGGATACAATCAGACCTGGGGGAGGTGCGGGGAGAGGGGGAGAGAGCGTAGCGGCTCAATGTCTTGATCAGCCATTATCTAACAGAATGGAGGAACAAGCTTGAGGGGCGGAATGGCTGTTCCTATGTCTTCTGGAAACATCACGAGGTAACAGGTTATGAATTCCCACATCACAGACGTCACACAGAGGTCAGCACCTCACCGCTGCTGTGTGAAGGAATGCGCCTACAGAGTCCAGAGTCAGAAAGACCAGAGTTAAAATGGTCACCTCATGGGCTGGCGCCTGGACTCTTCAGCTCTCTGCTCACCTCCAGCTGAATGGACCACAAAGGAATTAGCTCAGAACAGAACCGTAAGTAGTTTAGAAACAGGAGAAGAATCTGATTACCTCAACACACACACACACACATCCCCAAACAATCTGCTAGATACAGTGTTACCCTCTAAAATCACAGCCAATCTATTGAATGGGGAATGAGGGAGTGAGGGGGGGAGGGGAGTGAGGGGGGCGGGAGTGAAAGAAGGTGAAATCAGTGAAGTGGGACCTCTCACTGTCAAAAGTCCTACACATCCAACTACACATGTACCTACACACAAACCTACACATGTAATTACACATCTAAAACACGATTCCCAATAATCTCAAGTTCAGGGGAGGGGGCAACCCTCAATCGGGGGATATTGAGGGGGTGGAGGCGGGATGAGGGGGGGCGGGGAGAGAGAGAGATTCTCTCAAATGGCCAGAAAAGTTTGCACCTATTTTTCCTTGAAAATGACTTGTTGGGTTTGGAATTCTCCAGGATATATCAAGCAAACTTTCATATATATTAAAAACAATACTGTTTCTCACCCCCTCACACACATTCCCAGAAAAGTCAACTACCTGTTTTTCTATTTCCCCCCTCGAATATTAACCAAGCGAAGCTTGCTGTGTAAGACTGTCTAGTCTAGGACCAGTTCCCAGACCTCTCTCTTTCTCTCTCTCCAGCACCTGTGAATATGACAAGTTTCCTTTTGGCAGAATGGAGCCTCCCAGGTATCTGGGGCTGACAGTAAACCACAGCAAGCATGGAGTCTTTTAGAAACAAAAGCACAGGGTTTATATAACATGCAACCAAAGTTCCTCCAACTGGGGCCCATCTGTTGGGAAGGGAGAGGGACAGGGAAAGGTTAACACGTTTACAAGACACAGCGAAAGCCTGAGTTCGAAACAAAAAATAAACACTTAATAAATACAAGGTAACATTCCTGCCATTATAAGAACATGTTTTAAAATCTTCTACCTCCCGGTAGTGTGCAAGTAAAGACTGAAAAGTGTGGTGATTATTAGAGGTGGCCGCGTGGGAAGCTGTTGGAAGTAAACAACACAATCTGGGCTTCCCCTTGGCCGTTCTCAGACTGCTCCAGGTCAAATGTTAACTTCGGACTCCCATCAAACCAGAACCTCGAAGCTTTGTTATAATACTCTTCATGTTCCTTGTTTCTGGTTAGGGTTGGTGCTCACTCCCAGCCTCTCACTGCCTGTAATAGGAAGCTAGACAGACAAAACAAACAGTCCGTTAATAACTGGACAACACTAGCTAGACACTCCGAGCAAATTCTTACATTCTTATCTCGGGATGCAGTAGGACATGACATGTTAATCGACTGCCAGGATGGTGGAAGGCGAACTAGATGGACCTTGGGTCTTCTTTCGCCAGCAAATTCTTATGTTATTAAGAATGATCCTACCTTACAGTTAGACTGGAGATCAGACAAGCTGGTGCTCTTACAGTGGGGAACACAAGTCACCATTTCCTACTGCAATGGGGGGGGGCACGATAGCTCTGACTCTTAGAGTCAATGCTCAAAGTGAAGTGCAACCTGCCTGCATTGGCCAAGATTAAATCAATGGTGTGCTTTAGTTCTGAGGTCAAGAGGCCGCTCACTGGAAACTCAGTTCATTTTTCACACTGTACCTTTCTGTGAAGACTCAGTAGACCTTGAAGAAGGGCGAGGAGGGCGTTGAGGGGATGACTTGTAATTTAAATCAAAGTCATCAGAGTCCTTCTTGGGGCCGGGAGGCCTAAAGGGAAGCAGAGCAAAATCTTAGCAGCAACTTTAGATGCGTTTCTACAACAACATTTGTTTCTACAACAAAGGCGTCTCAGGACATCTCAGGACATCCTCCTCACACTGATACACACGTGGGGAGCATCACAATACACCATCACTGGCCTGCCTGCCAAACGGTTAGATCACAGCTGATCTCCAGGTTGCCTCTAAGCAAAGAGTGACTGAATCAGGTCCAAAAAGCTGGGCTGGAAGTTCGATCTCTGTGATGTGTAAGTTAAAAGACCAAGGCACACAGTGACCATCACCAATGACAACAGGCAATGACAACAGGCAATAAAGCTGCCACTGGGCGTCACTCTTCACTCAACGAGCTGAAGTTAGGAGGAGAATGGGAAGGAATGAAAAGCCAGGCTTGCTGCTCCTGATGCTATCCAATCATCGCAGAGGCAAGATGGGTGTACGCATGTGAGACAAGAACAAACCAGGGTTTAGCTGTCCTGTTGGTGATTGTAATACTGCTCATACTTGCTGGCTAGCCTGCCATGTACAGTGAGGGGCTGAGAGAGCAGCAGCACCACAAAACCCTACGCTGCACAAGATGGAGAGAGAAATGTGCAACAATAGATGGTCACTTGAGTTCTGTACCTGACTGGTCTTTCAGGCTTCCCCAGGCCTGCTTCTGGCCCGTCGCACATCTTTGGTCTAGTATAATCACCTGCCTCATACTGGGAAGAGCAAAATGAAAGGTTAAAGCATTGCAGGAACTGCAGCCTAGACACTCGACTGGCTATCGATAATCACCAGTGGTGAACTGGAATCTCAGAATGACATCAATAACATCCCTTCCCTCTCTGCATCTGCTAATGCATGCTCGGTGTTCTGTTACTCTACTATATTAAGATCCATCAGTCATCCCTTGGCTCAGGTCACTGGGAACACTGTTTGGCAAGTGCTCTGTTCCACGTCATTCACAATGTGAACATCATGTGGAACTGGTCATTTAAAACTGGTCAGTCTGATTTCTACAAACGCTTCTAACCATCATCCTTGTATTTTCCTTGCATTTGATATAGCACCTTATCACGTCATCAAGACATCTCAAGGCCTTTCACAGAATATATCGTAAAGCGTAGTGACTATTTTGTAGGCGAACCACGGTAGCCAATTGTGCATAGCAGTATCCCACAAATAATCGTGGAGTGAGCGAGCGATTTACTTGGGGATTGTTGGCCAGGACACCAGGAGAGAAACTAAAATCCCTTGTCTTCAATCGTTAACAATGAAGAAGCCAATATTAAGATGGGATCACTTCAAATTTCAGTGACTTCTAGTGATCAGTTATACTTCTGATTTTGTCCCAAATGCCCTCCTTCTAGCCTTCCCCAAACATAACCCAGTAATGCTCTTCTGTCTGGTTTCCGTTCCTATCCTGTAAGAGCTCAGTCAGACTACCTTCTTATCGTGCTCGTGTGGTTTCCGTTCGGATGATCTCTTTCTCCCCTCGTCCTCTGCCGCTCGCCCAGACTCCCCCTTGTGTTTCCTGTAAGCCCGTTTCTCCTTCTCCATCAGTAATCGAGCGATTTCCTGCAAATAGCAGCAGGCAAAGCCTCAATAATCAAATAATCCTTGTATTTGATCGCACGCCTTTCATGTCTCATATTTGAGGTCTTGCAGTGCTTCACTGTAAAAAGTACAAGTGTAGTTTGGAGGCGAACCAGCCTCAGCACCTATAGATAACATTAATGAATGACATCTCTTCTCTTAATATTTCTTCCCCTTCTCTTTCCCTTCTGTGGGAATGTAAAGTGTGGGAATGTAAAAGGACTAAAATACGTAAAGTACAGTGTCTAGACTATGATAAGATTAAAGTTGTTTTTTAAGCAAAAATGTAGATAAATTAGAGCAGAACCAGTGTCCTTGTCCAGTCTGCAATTGTCTAATTAAATTTGTGATGACTGAATATTGCTTGTCAATCAACAGCAAGAATTGTTTTGAGACATGAGGTGATCGCAAATAATCATGTATATAAACTGATGGGACTGCCCCATTGGTAGAGGGAGAGTACCGACTCTTCTGAGAGACGTGCTATTGTATTGCCTTTCGCTTTCCCTCTCCTTGCAATTGTCAAACCCAGGATGCAGTCGCTATAGCTAATGAACACTCACAGAGTTAGCTCAGAAATATAGTTTATTTAACACTTGCAGCAAGTCGAGACAGACACTCTGTACTTTACGTATTTTAGTCCTTTTACATTCCCATACTTCCACTACAACTTAAAAAGGGTACAAGAGATCAGAGTAGACAGCTCCAGTAGGGGAGCGGGCACCAACACTGACACGATAAGGAGAGCAGGGAATGGGATATAATAACAATCCTTGCATTTGATATAGCGCCTTATAATGTCTTTGAGACATGGCACAGAATATACTACAAAATAAATTGACTGTATATTTATTTCATAGGCAAAACGCGGCAGCCAACTGTGCACAGCAGTTGTGGACCAATGGACCAAGTGACCAATTTATTATTATTGTTATTTTTTTTAAGGAATTATTACCCCTGGAAAAGCAATCCGCCAATCGACTAACAACCGGAGTCCTTACAGCTAGGTAAACAGAGACGTGTGGATTAAGGTAGCTTGCCCAACGTTTCACCCTGCCGGGAATCAACCCCAAATCTTTCGCTTGCGAGGCGAGTGCTCTAACCACTGAGCTACAGCACTACATCATAGAGAGTTCCAGTGGGGGTGCGAGGACCAGCACAGACACAATTTCACGGATACAATGGGCCAAATTACTTCGTTAGCGTCCAATCTGATGCAGTGAGTAGTATGATTCTCATTCACACCCTCTCTGGTTATTAATGTTGTGTATTCCATTGGTAACATGCCCAAGAGAGTGAGTGAATAAACACTCAGCTACTATCTCACTGATGCCAGGGCATTGTTCATCTTCTCTGAAACCTCTATGGCTCTCACCTCACCTCGGGCAAACCGTGGACAGACTGACGGACCTTCTCACCTCATCTTGTGCCATCTGGGCTGCCTTCTGAGCTTCCTTCTGGGCCTCTTGGGTGGCCTGGAGCAAAGGAACAAACACCCAATCAGATGCTGGTTAGCAGGATAGTGTCCCTCAGGTGGAGAATGCTGCAGGAATGTCAGCGCAGGGGACCACATGATTGCTTCACACCCACCTGGAAAGGTTCTAACAAACCCCACAGTCAGGGCAGGCTCTGGCCTTACCAGCATCTCCTCCTCCTGCAGCTTGCGAGCCAGCTCGGCATCTCGCTGTTCCCACTCACTGGCACTCAGCTGGCAAATCCCTTGTGTCACCTCTTTCACTCCAGATTCCAGCCTCAAACCCACTGCAAATGATAAAAATACGCTCTGGTGATCAGCTAATGGGAGCTCGCCCCATTTAATATCCTCATTGGCTTTAATGAACCTTCCCTACCCCCACCACACCCAAAATAAAACTTTACACAAACCAGAACCCCTGGATTAAACCTGTATCTCCCTGGGCTCCGCTCACTCCTGCATCTCAGGCAGGAAAGATAGGTGGCTACCAGACCAGGTTTACAACAGCAGGTCAGGAATACCTATTCCTTCCACATTCTCCAGTCCTCTTCCAGAGCAGAGAAATTTGTCTAGGGGGTTGGGGTAGGAGAGGAGAGGGGGTAAATGCAGTAACAGAAGTGTTAAGCTGGTGGGCTGCAGCCTCGATTGTTTTTTTTCGGCTAAATCCCCTGCATTAAAACATTGACACAGGCCTTTCCCATCAGACAAAGCCCTCACTGCAATAAATGCCACCAAAAGTACAACTTAATTTTGCAAAAACCTTGAGTTAGTCTCTAGTTCTATCCTCTCGTTCTGAGGACGTACCACCAGCTCCGAGCAATGAGAGAACAACGTTGTTCCCACTGGTGATCTCCAGTATACAGGAGCTCAGTCAGTGCTGGTACACACTATTCTGACTGTGAGCAACAGTCACACGGGAACGTGTCTGACTGAGGAAGGAAGATGTGTGAAAACATAATGTGAATTTACACTGAAAGCAATACTGACATTATTCACACTCCGATCTTTCCCAACACCAGAGGCACAGGCATTTCTACTCTTCTCTGTCAGGCAATCTGTCCACCAGCCATCAGACAACTGGGCCCCTGGGTCAGGATCCACCACGACGCAGGTCCTGTGGCAGGTCCACAGCTGACCAACAAAAGGTCTCAAGTTACTGACCTTAACCTTCAGGTAAGAGATTTGTGTCAAAGCCAAGCATTCACCCAACAACCTCTCACACAGCTTACTTCAGTCCCTGATAGACCAGACATGAACCTCCCCAGGCAGCTCCCACACTGCTGCTCCTGGCTTAATTCCCTCAAAGCTACTCTGCCATCCTGGGGGCAGATCGAGTTTATCAACTTTAACAACTCACCACCAACTCCATAGCTGACTCATCACTCATCACATTGCCTCTCGTATGGGGAAGCACACTTTTCCCCCAGCCAGGAGTCTTGGAACGGGACACATTGTGGTTATGGGGTTCTCGGTGCAACATTGAGTGTTGAGACCACCCACTGGCGGTAAAATCAATACCTCCTTCAACAAGAGGAGCTGTGAAGGTTTTACTGGGCAATTCTAGCACCACAGAAGCTATTCCTGTATCTCACAACGGATTAGTTACCATTCTCACACTTTTTACACCAGGGTGCAGTTGTGCTGATCCATTTAACCTGGTCACACAGCAATGCCTCTGTACACAAGTCCCCTGTGCTTCCAGAGGTTCGTGCTCGCTTTCCGTTTGTGCTTCTCACACAGGTTGCAAACAAGCATGAAACATCGGACGCTTTGGCTACCTTGTTCTGCATCTCGCTGTTCACTCCTAAAATCGCCTGGCGACCGGGAACGTGCTGCTTTCTCCCTGGTATCCTCTCCTTGCCTCGTGGGCACCAGCTCCCGTTCCAGCCACTCCTCTGTGTCCAGGCCTCCCTCCGCTCCCCTCGGCCAGTGCTCGTATACCTCGCTGGGACTCCGCTTCCTGTGGGAAGCCCTGGGCTTGTCCGCACGCCTGTGTTTGTACGTGTCTCTGTGACGGCCGTTCACCTGGATCACTTTAGGCCGGGCTCCTTTATTTTGGTAGCTGGAGGCTGCTTCATAATCTGAACTAAAGGTGGGAGGAGGCGGCCTGACTGGCTTCTCTCTCCTGCGAGAGTCTCTCTGGTGTTTGAGTGCGTGGATATCTGGGTAGTAATCACCATGGCGGTCAGTGTCTGAGCACTGGGGCTGGGAGAACCCAGGCTCAGTGTTGATGTCTGTGACCGAGGAGAGCCTCTGTGAGGTGGCTTTTAATTTGCTCTCTCTTTTGAGTGTCGAACGTCTACTGTTATGGGAGCGGCTGGCGTGCAGCTGGCGTCTCGTGGAGCCCGCGCCATGCTGCTTGCTCTTTGTGGGGTCTGAATTGTGCAGACGCAACAAAACATGAGAGCTGGTTAGTGAATTTAGTCAATGTTAGACGCACAAACAAAACGTGTGGGGAGAGTGTGTGCACGCAGTGAGGAGTTACAAAATAAATCAAGCACCATGCGCATAAAAGACATGCAGGGTAACTGCTAGTATTTAAGTAAGGTTAGGAGACCTAATAGATGTCTTCAAAATCATGAGGGGATTTGTTTGATAGGTTAGAAAGGGAAAAAACTGTTCCACTGGTGGGTGTGTCGGTGACTCGAGGTCACAGATTCAAAATAGTCTCTAAAAGAAGCCGAGGGGAGGGGAGAAGATATTTTTTCACGCAGCGAGTTGTTGGAATCTGGAACACATTGTCTGGAAGGGCGGTCGAGGCCGATTCGATAACGACTTTTAAAAACGCTGTGGACAGGTATTTGAGGAGGACGGGTTTGCAGGTTATGGGGTAAGGGCCGGGAGTGGGATTGACATTAATTGCTCTTTTCAAAGAACCGCATGGACTCGATGGGCCGAATGGCCTCTTTTTGTGCTGTACGATTCTATGATTCTAAAATAGCCCTCTGTTAAATAGTGGCAGTGCCAGACCAGTGTTCACAGGACACAGAACCACAAATAGTTAACCCATTAATGTGGTCTTCCCATTACATATGGAAGGAAGTATGTGGAGTTAAGAACAAGGCATAGGCATCCTAATCAATCTTAATGGGTATGGTGGGGATGGGGGAAAGCACAGAGAAGTGGAACTCTTTGATAGGGAGCTCTTTGAGAGTTGACACAGGAACGATGAGCTGAATGAGCTCCTGTGCTGTAAAATTCTATGATTCTATCAAAGGGGATTCTTAAAGACAGGATTGCACCCCAGCATGACAAGCAACTCGTGAGGAGGTGCTCATCAACTCAAGACAGCAAACGTAGTGCTGTTACACTGCAACAACAACCTGCATTTATATAGCTCCCTTCACATGGGGAGCGTCTCAGAATGCTTTATGAAGGTGGTTGTCTCCCATTTCCCTCGTCTCCCACACTGATAAATATCTTACTGCTTTTCAATCCATTTTTACCCGAATCATCATTATTAATCACGTGGGGGTTTGGAAGTCAGAAGATGGCAATCATTGCAAAGGCTTTTAATATTGAAATACTAGCAGCTATTGATGATGGAAACGAGAATCTGCAATGGAGTGGGAGTAATTGGAAATATCTGGGTAAATCCCTAAAACCCAGGAGAGGATGTGAAAGTGTTGTGACTGAATCAGGTTTCCTTTGTAAAGAGGAAGCTCTTGTCCTCTTAGGCCTGGGAATTCCCTGCTTGGTGCAGCACCCAGTTCCCAGCTCGGCATATTCAAATCCATGATTCTATGGATTTGAAAGCCCTCAGAGCAGCTCTGGGGAAGGCACCGAAACACACAGTGGCTTGTCACAAAACACTGATTGAAATAAGGAAACAAAACAATGGATGACAGAAGACATGTCTTGGGTAGAAGAGACGCAGATACAAAAAGCAAGAGAGATGCAGGCACAGCGAACAGCATGGATAGATCGTTTGTGGATCAAGTGTTCACAATCTTGTAGTTATTGAACGTTGATTAGAATGATTTCCGTCCATATGCAGCTTAATGGCAAAATGGCTGCTCATTTTCTCAGAAGAGAATCGTCAACTGGTTGAATCATCAGAATCACAGATCACCCGGCACCAAGCACACCTCAGCCCTAACCACCACCAACACTGCAGTAGCACAGCCCTACCACCAGAAAGCAGCACCAGTATCACAGACACCAGGCTCAACAAGCCCATCACCAGCAACAAGATCAGCATTGGGAATACAAGCCATCACCCAGTAGTCACTTCCAGACTTCCCTGTTTCAGAATAGTCACAGCTGTTTGTTTAATACGCGACTGGGAGTGATGGAGAGTTTGGTTGTTTACTGCAGAATCACTTAAACCCTGAATTAGCTCTTGCACCCTTGCCGTAACATCAGAGCCAGATTCCAATTGGGGAAGTCCATCCATCACCTGTTACCATTTGCAATAAGCTCTCACTTTTCCTAAACTCATGGTGTGAAGAGCTTTAAAGTCACAGAATGACGAGAGTGACCGAGGAATCGTCCTAGCATTCCCAAGCCTTACCCTTGCTTTCATCAAAGCTTTCCATGTGGTAGGGGTCTTGACTGGTGTTATCCTGGTGATGTTGGGGGTCTTGACTGGTGTTATCCTGGTGATGTTTTTTCCTCCTCCTCTCCTCTTTCTCCTGCAGTTTGCGAGCAATTGCCTACAAGCAAGTAAAAACATGATCCTGAGCACATAATATAGGAACAGGTCTGCAGCCCACGCACCACCCCGTCTCTCTCTCTCTTCCCTTAGACCCTTTAATCTGTCATTCCTGTTATCCAGCACAGGGGTCTGTTATGGACCATGCATGAACCAGTGGAAAGTATTGGATGTTAATAATAATCCTTGCATTTGACAGAGCGCTTTTCACATCTACTAGATATCTCAAAGCTCTTCATAGAATATACTGTAAAGTGAATTGACTGTATATTTATGGATGAAACCACAAAATTCAGTGACATAATTAAGGGGTCGTACTCTCCACACGAGTTTACACATGGCACATAATGTAGCACGATTACACACGGTTTATACATGGTGCATGACACAAGATTTCTATAAGTAGCATAAGTAAATGTTCCCAAGGAATATTGATTTGCGTCACACACATGCGTTCACTTTACTTTCTGATCATCCGGACTTTCCCGGTTAGAAATACACAAGAATTGATCTGAAGAGTTTCTTACAGTCACTTCCCACACCACTCAGTGGATAAACACACAGCAGCACTTACTGATGGCTCAGTGCAGTCACCAGGGACTTGTTTTTTTAAAGCGAGACACCAGCTGTATGTGTGGGGGTTAAAATCTAAACTCCAGTTTGTGTCAGTTTATGTAAATTTCTGTCAGCGCAATGCCTTATACCCAGAATAACATACCATGCAAGGATCCATCTCATTTATGAAATTGCAGAGATTAATGGTGTTCAATTGAACTCTAATCCCACGACTCACTGCACATGGGCACGAAGCAGGAAAAGACGGGCATTGCTGTAGGTGTGTCAAGCCAACCGTTCAACAGCTGCAACGACTGAGCCGGCGGGGAGGGGGGGGGGGGACCGGGGGACTGAGCTGGGGTGGGGGGACCGAGCCGGGGGGGGGGGGGGGGGAACCGAGCTGGGGGGGGGGGGGACCGAGCCGGGGGGGGGGGGACCGAGATGGGGGGACGGACGACAGAGATGGGGGGGGGGACGACCGAGATGGGGGGGATAGAGAGAGAGAGGATGATTGAGAAAGTTTGAGAGGGCTTAGAGAGAGTGTGTGTGGGAGAGAGGGGGAGTGAGAAAAAGCGTGGAAGGGGAGAGAGTGATTGAGAGGGGGAAAAGTGGAGTGTGAGGAGTGTGAGTGAGAGATGGGGAAGAGAGTCCTGTCACCCCCTCTCTCCTCCAACTCTCTCTCCCCCCTCGCTCACTCTCTCCCCCTCGCTCACTCTCTCCCCCTCGCTCACTCTCTCCCCCTCGCTCACTCTCTCTCTTCCCCCCTTCTTCTCCCCACTCTCTCTCTCCTCTCCCCCACCCCCCCTAATCCCTCTCTCTCCCAATCATTATGTGCAGCGGCTGGACTAAGTTGCTAAGGACGCCATTGGTAAGATAAGCGCTTGCCTTCCTGGCAGACACCTGCCCTGCCTTGGGAGGAAGGTCAGCAGGGAGTTAGGCAGCGGGTTGGAATGTTGGATATGGTCCGGGCTAGATGTAGGCCGTGGACCTTACTCAGCAGCCAAAAGGATGGATAACCCAGATCTACATCAACCCCTTTGACTCCAAGATCTCACTGTGGAAAATTGTAAAGTCAAAATGAGCAACACTGAAAGCCAGAGGCCATTCCATTGCTCGCTGTTCAACTGTTTTACATCAAAGGGATTGACACTTCACCCTGAGGAATCTTGGGCTGGATGTCTGTGAGCCACTTGCCTCCACACACACACACACACACACACACAGTGACACAGGAGAGTGTGGTTTGAAGGTTAGGGCTGTCAGCAGGGGGAGGTTCCCCATCACATACAGTGCAGCCCAGGGCTTACCTCGTCGGTCTCCTCCTGTTGCCGTCTCTGCTCCGCCTGCAATGCCAGCTCGTCCTGAATAACCTGGGCCATCTGGTTGTCACGCCGCTCTCTGCAACACAAGAAGCCAGACATGAGCCATAGACAGGCAGGAAGGGCTCAAACAGTTTTCAATGATGTAATATACCCACTCCGGCTCACAGGGAAGAATTGGCTCTTCCACTATGGAGCTTCCTCGCTCTTAAAGGTTCTTTGCTCCCACAGGCAGCCCAGGGCAGCGCGAGCAGGTATCACAGCTCGTTAATTAGGCTGAATTAGACTGAACACGATTGAACAGAGCCTCCACTATGAATCACATCAACTGTCTGTCGTTTAGCTCTGCAGCCTCTCCTGAACTAGTCTGATTCACTGACTGAACCATTGTCACATGTGACATTGCCGTTTGCGGGAGATGTAGAATGTCTGTTTTTATTTCTGTGCTAAGGGGAGGGGAGCCAGCAAAGGATTTGCTACTTGTAGTGGCGAGAGTCAGCAACAAACACTGTGAGGTAAAGATCTGTACTACTATCCCAACAATGTCTCAACTCCAACCTCACAGAGTCTTCTATCCCAGCCCAAAACCAGCTGCCACATCAGCTAGTCAGAGTGAAACTTTAGCCACAATTGTGGACTAGAGTTTCGTGTTCTTGTCTGGCGATAAACTGACTGAAAAAAGGCCGCTGTGCCTCTGAATGCTTCCCTGCAATCACCCACAACATTTAAATGACTCCAACAGAGAGCAGAACAAAGCCTGGATCAACTTGGGCTTAACAGGACCCAGATCATTGTGGACAGATCACAAGAGAGGTTCAGTTGAAGATGTTTCTTGCTATCAGAATACATACCATATCAAAAACAGAGAGAGCTGGGAAAACTCAGCAGGTCAGGCAGCATCTTATGAAGAAAGGAAAGTGAGTCAACGTTTTGGGTCCACAACCCTTCGTCAGGAGTCCCGACGAAGGCTCGTGGACCCGAAACATTGACTCACTTTCCTTTCTCCATGAGATGCTGCCTGACCTGCTGAGTTTTCCCAGCTCTCTCTTTTTTTTTCATAGAATGTTACGGCACAGAAGAGGCCATTCGGCCCATTGAGTCTGTGCGGCTCTATGACAGAGCGTGACTTTCACTAACCCGTCTTCCTCAGATACCTATCCAATTCTCTCTTAAAAGCTGATATCGAATCGGACTTCACTGCCCTTTCGGGCGGATCATTCCAAGTTCCAACAACTCGCTGAGTGAAAACATTTCTTCTAACCTCCCCTCTGCTTCTTTTGGTAGATATCTTAAGACTGTGACCGCGGGTCACAGACACACCTACCAGCGGAAACAGCTTTTCCCTATCTCGCCTGTCGAAACCTTTCATGATCTTGAAGACCTCTATCAGGTCCCCGCGTAACCTTCTCTGCTCTAATGGGAAAAGTCCTAACTTCTCCACTGTCCTCATAGCTAAGGTTCCCCATTCCTGGTATCATTCTCGTGAATCTCCTCTGCACCCTTTCCAGTGCCTTAATGTCCTTCCTGAAGTAAGGTGCCCAGAACTGGACGCAGTACTCCAGCTGAGGCCTAACCAGTGTTTTGTATAGATTAACCATAACCTCTCTACCAAGTCTATATTGCCTCCCATCATTTTTCCTCCCTAAGTGTATCACCTCACACTTATCCACATTGAAATCCATCTGCCACATGTCAGCCCATTCCACCATTCTGTGTATGTCTGCCTGCAGTTGGTTACAGTCCTCCTCACTATTTACTACCCTAACTTTGTATCATCTGCAAACTTGGAAATAGTGCTCTCTGTGCCCAAGTCCAGATCATTAATATATATTAGAAAGAGCAGTGGTCCCAATAACGATCCCTGGGGGACACCGCAGTACACCTCCTTCCATTTCGAGAAACACCCATTAACCACCACCCTCTGCTTTCTGTCACTCAGCCAGTTCCTAATCCAAACTGCCACTGCGGTACTGTCAAATGTGGTCAAATGCGGTTCTGTGTCAAAAGCCTTTTTGAAATCCATGTAAATAACCGCATTTCCCTCATCAACCCTCGCCAGTCATCACCTCTTCAAAAATTCTATTAGATTTGTTGGGCAAAATTTGCCTTTAACAAATCCATGTTGGCTGTCTCTGATTACCTCACGTTCCTCTAAGTAGAGATTTATTCTGTCCCGGATTATGGTCTCCAGTAGTTTTCCTATGACCGAAGTTAGGCTGACTGTAATTTTCGGGTTTGTCTTTCTGCCCCTTTTTGTAGAGGGGGGTAACATTAGCCACTCCCCAGTCTCTTGGAACCACTCCTGTGTCCAATGAAGATTGAAATATAATGGCCAAAGCCTCTGCTATTTGAACCCGTATCTCCCACAGCAACCTTGGGTGAAACCCATCTGGTCCTGGTGACTTATCAATTTTGAGCCCAGTCAATCTTTTCAGAACTTCCTCTCTGTCTATAGTAATCTGATCTATTTCCTCTACCCTCTCATCCAATACTGCGGCATTTGGGGCATCCGTTTCCGTTGTGAAGACAGATGCAAAGTACTCGTTCAGTACATCATCCATGCCCTCTGCCTCCACAACAAGATTGCCATCATTGCCTTTGATTGGCCCCACCCTACCTTTAACTAACCTTTTTTCCTTTATGTCCTCGTAAAATATTTTAGGATTCCCCTTTATGTTACCCACTAACCTCTTCTCATGCAATCTTTCAGCCTGTCTTATCACTCTTTTAAGATCACTCCTGCATTCTCTATAATGCGCTTTGCTATCCTCAGTATCTTGCGTCTTGCAATTGTTGTATGCCGTCTTCTTCTTTTTCATCCTGGACAGAATATCCCTGGTCATCCAGGCTGGCTTGGTTGTCGTACATTTCCCTTTTGTGGGAATATGTCTATTTAGACCCTGAGCTATCATATCTTTGAAGATCTCCCATTGCTCTCGAGTCGTTTTACCTGCTAGTCAGTTTTGCCAGGCCACCAACTCTAGGTCCCTTTTTAGCCCATCAAAATTAGCCCTTTTCTAGTCAAGCATTTTCACCCTTGACTGTACTTTGTCCCTGTTCATGAGTAATCTAAATCTAATAATATTATGGTCACTGTTACCTAGATGCTGCCCTACCGAAACCTGTTCAACCTGACCTATTTCATTCCCCAGGACCAGATCCGGCAATGCTTCCTTCCTCGTAGGACTGGAGACATACTGCTCAAGAACATTTTCCTGTACACAGTCTATGAATCTTTGTCCTGCCTTGCCCTTAATGCTGGTATTTTGCAGATCTATATTGGGATAATTGAAATCCCCCATTATCACAACTCTGTTCGCCTTACATCTATCCGCGATCTGGTTGCAGATCTGCTCCTCTATCTCCTTCCCGCTGTCTGGTGGTCTATAGTAAACCCCTATCAGTGTAACCACTCCTTTCTTATTTCTTATCTCTAACCAGATGGATTCTGTTGTCGGGCCCTCCAGAACCTCGTTCCTTTCTGCAGTTATAATTGTATCCTTAACTAACCTTCCTGAATACATTATATCCTGGAATATTTAACTCCCATTCCTGTCCTGGCTTGAGCCATGTCTCAGTTACTGCCACCACATTATAACCCCCTACGGCGAGTTGAACCTGCAGCTCATCAACCTTATTCGCTAAGCTACATGCATTTAGGTACATGCATTTGAGGAAATTGTCCACTTGTACCTGCTCTACACTTCCCACTTGTCTTTTTCCTCTAATTTTGTTTCAGATTTCTAGCATCTGCAGTATTTTGTGTTTTGTACCTATCATATCACACTGCCAGAACCTCACCCAGCTACTGCTTAAACGAGTCCCGGCATTCTGATCTGATCCAGCCTTTCTGCTATTCTTTTCAAATTCTCTGTTGCCCTAAAGAATTTCTTCTTGGTATTGGTGCTAAACGTGGCCCTCACACACCCTGAGGCTGCGCCCTCTTGTCCCGCAGGGAGGGCGACAGGACTTACATTTCTCGCTGGCGTTTCTGAAGGCGAAGCTGGGCTTTGTGGTCCTCCTCCTCTTGCAGTCGCTTGGCCACTTGCAGGTCATGCTGCACTAGGCGGTTCCGCTGCACGTTGGAAGCCAAGTGATGCTCGACTGAAACACAGCAATATGAGCAGTCAAACTGTGCACTCAGACTAGGTGGAATACTGGGTTTCATCAATACACACTCCCATTGCACGGAAGGTTCTGACCTTCTTCCTGACACAGTTTAAGCCACATTATGGTAATTGATGAGAAACATAAAAAGTCTAGGAATCAACAAAGAGATTCCTTCCCCTCCCCCACTGTAACTCCAACCATTCTCACCTGTCTCCTGCCCCAGTGTAACTCCCTATATTATAATAATAATCCTTGTATTTGATACAGCGCCTCATCACTTCTTTAAGACGTCTCAAAGCGCTTCACAGACTATACTGTAAAGTGAATTGACTGTATATTTGTGGGCAAAACTCTGCAGCCAATTGCGCACAGCAGCGTCCCACAAACAGTCGTGGCCTGAACTGTGAGTAACAACAACAATGCATTTATATAGCACCCTTCACGTGGGGTAGATAAGGGACCTCCCAACACGGAACCTTGTTCTGAATTAGACATTAATGAAAAGATCTGTCAGGCCCCCTAGCGCAGTGTTGGCCAAGCTTTTGGGTCGGCCAACTAAATACATTTTTCTTGATTTATGGCCACACCATAAACATCACTACTGGAACCAAAATATTGATTCAACAGACTTTCCTAGACTAGTGCGAATGTTTGGCAGACAAGTTTTGGCCCATGGCCCATGGGCTGGCCACAACTGCTCTGAAGTATAAACCGGTGTCAGGGCCAGGGTTCACACCTCTAGGCCAGAAGGTTATAGGTTTAAGTCCCGAGTTAGGACTTGAGCTTGGGCTGACTGACACTGCAGTTCATTTAGCTCATGGCTATCTGTGAGACACATGGCCGCCAAATTCGCCTAAAAAAGTCACTGTACTTAACAGTAATGAGTTGAAGCATTTTCAGACATTTCCATGGGCTGCTGCTGTTGGTTTTTGAAGTCTGCTGCAACAAAAAGCTCAGCCGCCCTTCCCCGAAGGAAATGATTTTTGCTGAGCAGCAATGTGATTACAGGAACGATACGATTTTTAAAAAAAAAATACACTTTGAACTTCAACTTGAAGCTGCATTTTTTACAGCAGAGCCCAGCTTTGATTCTCAATCCCAGCAGCACTGGAGACAGCAGGAAGAGACCCTTCCAACTGCCTGATCACAGTGGGCACTGCGCAAACTGCAACCAGGATGGGTGTCAAGCTTGGCAGGCGTCAGGCCGTCTCCGATGGCTTCACTCTCGCCTCGGGCTCAGAAAGTTGCGGGTTCATAAGCTTCACGTCATGATTTGAGCTCAGTCTAAGCTGATGTGGGCTCCGTTATACAAGGTGTTGTCACCTGTTCATGACCTATTCACCAGGGTTCTAGTCAGCCTGTCCAGGTGGACAAAACCAGGAGTTTCTCTATGTTTCTGGGTTGGCAATCCCTCCCAGATAAAATCAGTCATTCATGGTTGAATGTGGGATATTGCCGACCCAACTGTCCAACGTCCTCCCGACGTGAAAGACGCTCTATAAATGAAATCTTGTTGTTGTTGCTGTGTGCAAGTTAACTGCTGGATTTGCTTACAGAATAAAGTTACCTTGGTGCACAAGTTATGTTGATTATTATGTAGATCATGTTAGACTGTAGTCCAGTATTGTAAAACTAGAGGCCTGAGATTGAAGAGGGTAAATTCAGAATGAATCTACGCAACACTATTTCAGTGAGCGAATAGCGAACCTGTGGAACAGGCTCCTGAGGGAGACAGTTGAAGCAGGAAATGTTGATTCTCTCAAACACAGATTAGATAGTTTTCTTTTAGGAAATAACATCAAGGGATACAGTACATACGGAGTTTGGGACATATTTTCAGGCGACCGGCAGGAAGGAAGAAGGCGAAATAGATCCTCACCATTGTTCAAATCCCTTCACTCTCTGGCACCTCCCACCTCTCTGACCTCCGTACTCCCCAATTCACCACTCAGCGCCTCCATTCCCTCGCACCCTCCGCCGCACCATCGGAGATCGTGCTTTCAGCCACTACGCCCCCAAACTCTGTAACATTCTCCCTCAATCCTTCCTCCTTACCCCCCTCTCCCCTTTTTCAAGTCCCACGTGAAAACCTTCCTCTTCAACCGTGATTACAGTCACTGCCCCTCCCCTGGCTCAGAGTCAGGCTCCACCATTGTTAAACCTCTGAGATGCTGCCCTACATGGGGGGGGGAGAGCGCTATACAAGTGCAAGTTGTTGTTGCTATAGATGGACCTTGGTCTTTTTTCATCTAGCATTTCTTATGTTATGAGTTCGGGGGGAAGGAATGTGTTTGGGGCATTCCACATGCAGGGTGTGCAGACTGGGCTAGAAATCTCTGAGCCTCTTTCCCAATCCCCATTAAATGTGGTTATTCAACCAGATACAAAATAGTGACATTCTGCTCGGCCACCAGCGGTTACTTAATTGGTTTATATGTTTATGCCCCGACCCTTTGAAAAGTTCCTTCGTTTTAAAAGAAGTGTGCGCAATTGGCTGCTGCATTTCGCTCACAAAATAGTTAATTCACTTTGCAGTGTATTAGAACATAAGAATTAGGAGCAGGAGTAGGCCATTCGGCCCCTCGAGCCTGTGCTCCACCATTCGATAAGATCATGGCTGATCTTCTGACCTAACTCTAATTACCTGCCCTGTCCCCAAATCCCCTAATCCCTCCATTTTTTAAAAAATCTATCAGTCTCAGCCTTGAAGATGTTCAAGGACTGACCATCTACAGCCTTCTGGGGTAGTGAATTCCATAAATTCACTGCCCTCTGACCGAAGAAATGTTTCCTCAACTCTGTTCTAAAAGGCTGACCCTTAATTTTCAGACTGTGACCCCTGGTTATAGATTCTCCCACCGGGGAAACAGTCCCTCAGTGTCTACATTATCAGCCCTTTAAGAATCTTATATGTTTCAATAAGATCTCCCCTAATTCTTCTGTACTCTAGAGAATACAGCTCCAGTTTATTCAGCCTCTCCTCATAGGTCAGTCCCCTCATCCCAGGAACTAACCGAGTGAATCTACGCTGCACCCCCTCGAGGGCAAGTATGTCCTTTTTTAAATAAGGAAACCAAAACTGCACACAATCCTCTCGGTGCGGTCTCACCAAAGCCCTATATAGCTGCAGCAAGACTTCCCTACTCTTGTACTCTAAACCCTTTGCAATGAATGCCTTCTTAGTTGCTGCTGCACCTGCAAACTAACTTTTTGAGACTCGGATATACGAACACTCAAATCTCTCTGAACACTAACACTATCTAATCTCTCCCTCTCTTGAAAATAATCTGTTTTTCTATTTTTTCTATCTAGGAGAATAACTTCACACTTCCCCACATTAAATTCCATCTGCCACCTCCTCGCCCACTCCCCTCATCTATCTATATCCCTTTGCAATCTTTTTGCATCATCCTCAGAGCTTACTCTCCCACCGAGTTTAGTGTCATCCGCGAATTTAGATACGTTACATTCAATGTCCTCATCTAGATCATTGATGTAAATTGTAAATAGCTGAGGCACAAGCACCGATCCTTGTGGCACTCCACTAGTCACATCCTGCCAATTCGAGAATGACCCATTTATCCCTACTCTCTGTTTTCTACCCGTTAGCCACTCTTCAATCCATGCTAATACGTTCCCATTAATCGCCTGGGCCTTAACCTTGTGCAATAGCCTTTTGTGTGGCACTTTGTCAAATGCCTTTTTAAAATCTAAATATACTACATCTACTGGTTTCCCCCCATTTAACCTGCTGGATACATCTTCAAAAAACTCTAAAAGATTAGTTAAGCATGACTTCCCTTTTGTAAAGCCATATTGACTCTGCCTAATCTTGTTATTCACTTTACAGTGTGTTCTGTGAAGCGCTTTGGGACGTCCTCCCGACGTGAAAAGCGCTAATATCAAATGCAAGGATTATTATTATTATTATTATGGTCTTCCAGGAATCCCATAACGACATCCTTAATTAAGGACACAAGAACTTTCCCTCCCACTGATGTCAGACTAACTGGTCTATAGTTCCCCATCTTTTCTCTCCCACCCTTCTTAAATAGTGGTGTTATGTTTGCAATCTTCTAATCAATGGGAACTGTTCCAGAATCCAGAGAATTTTGGAAGATCAAAGACAAGCCATCCACTATCTCAGTAGCCACCTCTTTTAAAACCCTAGGATGTAGGCCATCAGGTCCAGGAGATTTATCAGTTTTAAGACCTGACAATTTACCTAAAACCATTTCTTTATTAATTACTAATATTAATTCCCCCAAGTTGTTCGCTAACATTGTCTTCTTGGTTGCCCTCTATTCTTGGTAGGTTTTCAGTGTCTTCTTAAGGTGAAGACAGTAGCAAAGTACTTGTTTAATGACTCTGCCATGTCTTTGTCCCCTACTTAAATTCCCCCGTCTCTGCCTCTAACAGACCCACATTTACCTTTAACAGCCTCTTCCTCTTTATATATTTATAAAAACTCTTGCAGTCTCTCTTTATGTTCCTCGCTAGTTTGCCCTCATATTCCATTTTCTCCCTCTTAATCACTTTTTTGGTTCTCCTTTGTTGATCCCTAAAGTTCTCCCAATCCTCGGGTTTACTACTCATCTTAGCTGTTTTATAGGCTTCTTCCTTTAACTTTATACTGTCCCTAACTGCTCTAGTTAGCCGCGGTTGGGTCACCTTTCCCGTGGCATTCTTATTCCTCAAAGGAATACCTGCTCGCTGGGAATTTTAACTATCTCCTTAAATGTCTGCCATTGCTGGTCTACTGTCAAATCCTTAAGTCTAATTTCCCAGTTTATTTTGGCTAAATCCTCTCTCATACCAGCAATGTTGGCTCTACTTAAATTTAAGACCTTTGCTTCGGACTTAACTGCTTCCCTCTCTAACTTAATGCTAAATTCCATCATATTATGGTCACTTTGCCCGAGAGGAGCCTTAATTTCCAGTTTGCTGATCAGCCCTGCTTCATTGCACAAAACAAGGTCTAATATGGCCCGTTCCCTGGTTGGCTCCTCAGCATACTGATCCAGATAATTATCCCTAATACATTCTATAAACTCTTCCTCTATCTTACTTTTCCCAATTTAGTTGTCCCAATCAATATGCAGATTAAAATCACCCACAATTAATGTTTTTCCTTTGCTTCATGCTCCGCTAATTTCCTGATTTATACCTTAAGAGATACTGTGACTGCTGTTCGGGGGTCTATCAATTACTCCCACTAGAGTTTTCTGCCCCTTGTTGTTACGTACTTCTACCCATACTGACTCTACTTCCTGCTTTTCTGATTTAAAATCTTTCCTCTCTACTGTTTTTATCCCATCCTTTATTAGCAGGGCCACCCCCCCTCCTCGTTTACCACATTGCCTATCTTTTCCTATACACCACGTACCCTGGAATATTTAGCTCCCACCCTTGATCTCCCTGTAACCATGTCTCGGTGATGGCTACTAGACCATACTATTGTTTCTATTTGTGCAGTTAGTTCATCTATCTTGTTTCGAATGCTTCGTGCATTCAGATATAGTGCCCTTAATTCTGACTTCAGGCTATTAGTCCTATTCATCAGTACCCTATCCCTGGGCTTCCTTTCCCCGCTTGACACACTTTGCTCATCTCCCTCGTTAATCTGCTCTCCCACTTTCATTGGTCCTAATTTTACCTGTGACGGATTACACGCGATTGATTTTACCCCCCCCCCCCCAACTTAGTAGTTTAAAGCCCTGTCTACCTCCCTATTTATTCATGTCGCCAGGACATTTGTCCCAGCCCTGTTTAGATGGAGTCCATTCACTTGGAATAGATCCCGTCTCCCCCAATACTGATGCCAGTGGCCCATAGAGTGAAACCCTTGCCCGCCACACCATTCTTTTAGCCAGGTATTCAGATCTTTAATTTTTTTTTGCCTGTACCAATTTGCCCCCGGCTCAGGTAATAATCCCAATATTAATACCTTCGAAGTTCCACTCTTCATCTTAACTCCCAATTCCTGAAACTTGCTCCTCAACTCGTCCCTACCGGTCCCACCTACATCATTGGTCCCTATGTGAATCATAACTATTGGATCCACACTCTCCTGCTTCAAATTTTTCTCCAGCCCAGAAGTGACGTCCTTCACCCTGGCCCCAGGAAGGCTACAGAGTCTTCTTGTCTCCCTACTACGGCTGCAGGAATGTGTGTCAGTCTTCCTGACTGTCTCATCTCCACTTACCACTATATTCCTTTTGACTATTCTGTTTTGTGTGGCCTCCTGTATAGAGGTGATGGGGTAAGTTTGCCCATCTTCCTCACAGACTTCCTTGTTCACCACACAGGTTGCAAGTATTTCATACCTGTTGGACAAGGTTAAAGTCTGGGGTTCCTCTGCCTCTCTCTTTCGGGTCCCCTTACCCGCCTGTCTGACCGTCACCCAGTCCTGTCCGTGGCTGGTAACAGAATGTTCCTTGGGACTCGGGGGAGTGTCTGGCTCCAGGATGAAACTGACCAGGAAGCTCTCCACATCTCTAATGCTGCGCAGTGTCTCCACCTAAGACTCCAGCTCAGCTATTCTGAGCTGGATCTTCCTCAGTTGGAGACATTTGCTGCAGATGAAGTCGCCTGGGCTCAGGGCCCTCCATCAACTCCCACATACCAGATTCCTCACACATCACCTGCCAGGCCGTTCTCTCCTCTCACTCTCTTTATCCCTATATTATTGTTGTTAAAAGATATTCTACAACCTTGCACCTACTTTCCCCTCTGCACCTAATTCCCACTATCACCCAATTCCTTCTCACTCTGGCCTCACCTCACTCCGGACGTAGCTCACTCTGGACTCTCTGCTCAAGTAAGGCTCGCGCAGTGATCCCCTTTTTATACCCTCTGGATGCAACCAGTTTCCGATTGGTCAGCAGTAATTTAGAATTACCACCTAATCAAGTGATTAATCAGTATGTTGCTTGTTATTGGTTAAGTCTAATTAGCTACAGCTGCTCCCTGTTTCGCCACAATTCTGTGATGCACTTTGAGACGTCTCAACAACGTGATATGGCGCTGTATCAAGTGCAAGGATTATTATGACACCTCACATTGGAAGCTTTGCCATTCATTAAAATCAAATCTGAAGCATTGAATAACTTTAACAACAAAATAACATTTGTATAGCGCCTTTCACGTCAGGAGGATGTCCCAAGACCTGGAGAATCGGTGTTTTGGACTTTAAGGTATTAAAACACACACACAACCTCAGCTAGCAACGTAGGTAGACAGCTAATAAAGGGTGTGGGGAATAGGCAGGGAAATGGAATTGGTTGTACTCACTCAGTCACACAGGCACTACACCTCAGTGAATCCCTCCGTTCCTCCCTCCCTCACGCCTGACTGATCCTTGCACAATGAATTTAGGCAATGTTTCACAAAACTGCTGGCAGGCCACATTACAGACAGCTTACACAGTAACTCCACACTGTAGTTTATCACAATCATCACATAGAAAGTGTTTGAAACAGTTGACATTAACGCAATCTCTGAGATCTTAGCCACAACAGCAGGTTTCAGGCTGCGAACTACTGAGCACCTGATCTCCAGCAACCACACAGTAGCATTTCACAGAATTGGGTTTGATTCCTGAGCGGGTAAGGGCGAAACCTTAGGCAAGTTTCCTTACTCCACACATACTCCTCTGTTTACCTAGCAGTAACAACAACAATAAATGACACTTGTGCAGTGCCTTCACGTTGGAAAGACGTCCCAGGGCGCTGGATAATCAGGGGTTTGGGACTTGAGCTGGGAGTTGGGGTCAGAAGGGAGAGAGCATGGTGGGGTGCGATGGTGGCTGAAGGCACGGTCGAAAAGGAAGATCTTCAAACAGGACTTGAAGGAGGCAAGAAAAGGGGCGAGGTGGAGGGATTGCGGGGTAGAGTTCCAGAGTGTGGGGACAGAGATGCTGAAGGCCTGACCGCCAATGGTGGGGCTGGAAGTGCGGGGGACCTGAAGCAATCGGTGTCCTCCGAGAGTAGGGAGCGGACAGGCTAATATGGGGTTAGGAGGTCAGTGAGGTGGGGGGGAGCATGCCCATTGAGGGCCTTGAAGCTAAAAAGCAACAAAATTTTGTTTGTAAAGCGCCTTTCGTGGCCCAAGGCACTGGACAGACAGAATTACGAACCCGAGTTGGAGGTTGGGGTCGGGGAGGAAGTCGGGAGATTAAAAGCACGATTGAAAAGGAGGGTCTTGAGATGGGTCTTGAAGGTGGCAAGGGAGGGGACGAGACGGAAGGACTGCGGGATGGAGTTCCAGAGGGTGGGGGCAGAGTGGCGGAAGGTCCGCCCACCAACAATGGGGCGAGCGAGGCGGGGGACATGAAGTTCGCTGAGCAGAGGGAGCGAACAGGATGGTAGGGGATTAGGATATCGCAGAGGTAGGGGGGAGCAAAACAAGGGCTTTGTACTCGATTCTCTGAGGGAAGGGGCGCCAGTGAAGCTGAGCAAGGATGGGGGTGATTGGTTCGGGGAGCCTGGTGCAGGAGAGGACACGAGCTGCAGAGTTCTGAATAATCTGCATCGTGTGGAGGGAAGAGTTGGGAAGTCCAGTGAGCAGGCAGTTGGCGTAGTCAAGCCGGGACGTGATGAAAGCATGGATCAGGGTCTCGGGGGCCTGCGGTGAGAGGCAGTGATGGAGGTGGGCAATACTGTGGAGGTGGTGAAAGCCGGAACGGGTCACAGCACGAATGTGGGGTTTGAAGGATAGCTGAGGGTCGAAAAGGACTCCGAGGTTTTGGATTGACTCAGTGAGGTGAAGAGCACAGCCGTGGATGGGGATAGTGTCAGGGGCTGAGGTGAGGAGCTGCTGCCCGGAGCCAAGCAGGAGGGCCTCTGTCTTGCCAATATTTGCCCACAAAATATAAAGTCAATTCACTTGACAGTATATTCTGTGAAGCGGTTTGAAACGTCTCGAAGACATAATAATAATCCTTGCATTTAATATAGCACTTTTCACGTCTCAAAGAGCTTCACAGCATATACTGTAAAGTGAATTGACGGTATATTTTGTGAGCAAAATACAGCAGCCAATTACACCCCTCAGTTTCCCACAAACAGTGGTGGATTGAGTGACCAGATTATTATTATTGTTTTTTTTGAAGGGATTATTACCCCCGGAAAAGCGATCCACCAATCGACTTAACAACTGGGCTCCTACTTACTGCTGGTAAACAGAGGTGTGTGCAGTAAGGAAACTTGCCCAACATTTTGCCCTGCTGGGAATGAAACTCTGGTCCTCTCGCTTGCGAGGCGAGTGCTCTAACCACTGAGCTACAGGACTCTTCAAGATAACGTGCTATATCAAATGCAAGTATTATTACTACTATTATTAATTGTAGACCAGTTTGCCATCAAAGGTTTCCACACTGTGTGCTCCAGGTGACCACTGTACACAGAGGGATTGGCAGCATATTATCATCTTCTCATTATCCCTGAATGTTTTAATTTAGCACTCAGATGATATTCAGTTCCCTTTTGAATGAATCTATTGATCCCAGCTCAATAACCACTTGCGGTATGTCAGCAAACAGCTGCTAATCTGTGCTGGTGACTAACACACAGCAGTGACTGACTAAGCGGCTTTCATGGTTCCAGCAGGAATATTGGCCCAGAGAAAACATTCTGTTCTTCCAAATAACAGTGTGGAATCTCAACCTCTAAGACAAAATATACCACTCACTCATCTAGCAGTTGAGAAAATAGCTGAGAGAAGGGGGCGATGGGGTGTTCAGAGGAGGGAAAGAGAAGCTGATGAAATGTGCAGAGTGTGGAGGCTGTGTGTCAGCAACACTTACTCTCCTGCTCCTGAAGGTTGTGGGCCAGACTGCGATCTTCCAGCACTGCGAAGCCCCGTCTCACTGAAAGCCAGACACAGAGAGAGAAACCATTAGATACAGCTGTTCAGTGTTCAGAGATCAGTCACTAGTCAGCAAACCGGGCCTGGGCCTGCTCTCCTGGCAGAGGGAACTGCATCTGCCTCAGGATGGACGGAAGTTAGATAAAAACTCTCCTGCTGGTTATTGTAAAGTTCTCCCCCACCCCACAGAGTGCTCCGCTGGAGAGAAACAGTGATCATTAGCGGGTTCACTGCTTGGTCACTGGGAATCGCCCCAGTTGGCTTTGGCATTGGTGTATTTGCTGAGACGTTCAAAGTTCACAGAGCTGTTAATGCAACTATTGCATAGCCTGTATTCACTGAGCTGGAGCCAGACAAACAGACACCAATGCTGACCTTCGCGGCCTCCCCTCCCCCCATGTATTCCCAAACCTACGGCCCTATACTTCGACCCCGTCAACTCGCCCATTCAGCGAGGCCTGCCATTAACACTGATGTATCACTAGACAAAGGTGATCATGTTAGCAACCAGCAACCAGCGAGCAGATTCCATGACCATCACTGTCCCCCCACCCAACGCACAAGGTTTGTACCATATTGAAAACTTCCTGTGCTTTGTTTCGCCGTAAAAACACATTTCATATTCCACATTTCAGATGTGTCAATCTGTCGGCGATTCTTCATCCCTGAGCCAATTCCTGGAGCTAACAGTGATCTCATCGCCAATGTATGTTTACACATCTTTTGCTAACAACAAACTTATCAAACAAAATAAGTTGCTGTACAGCAACGAAAGGCACTTAAGCTACATTTGGCACAGATGGTGTGTCGATAGGGATGTAAATCAGCATCACTGAGACTCCAGCATCAGCTGGGTGGGAGCCAAGGTACAGGCTGACTGCACTGGTGAGCAATGGACTCATCAAATGCCTTTTATGTAAAGACCGGGGAGAATACATTGTCCTGTAAATTCTGAACAGATGCAGGCGTAATAAAGATGCCAAAACAAGTCAAAACTGTGTCTGTACAGGCACTAGCAGCTCAAATAAAGTCACATTAACAGCTCCGTGCACATTGAGCGTCTCAGCAAATACACCAATACCAAAACCAACTAGGGCGATTCAACTGCACAAACACTGACCCTGGTTGTGAGCCTTACACAGTGCTGGACTCAGAGACAAATTCCAGCCTTGGTCTTCCCCACACGGAAGCTCCAGTTCATCCAGATTCAGTTGAATAAAGAGGGGGCTGGACATGGCAGAGGTCTCATCCCAAACGATTGAAGGAGGATTTCTGGCAGGGTCAGCAACCAGGGACCGCCATGAGCTAAACAGAAGTTAATTTTCAGGACAAAACACATTCTTTACAGTCACATCCAACCCAGAACCATGTCTGACAGAAGCAATCTACTACAATACTTGAATATAGCTTTCAGTTCCACATAAAATGCAGGCAAGTTTCCGGAATAAATGGTAGCATTTCTATTAGCACATAATAATAATAATCCTTGCATTTGATATAGCGCTTTTCACATCGGGAAGACGTCCCAAAGCAGTTCACAGAAGACACTGTAAAATGATTTGACTGTATATTTGTGGGCGAACGCGGCAGCCAATTGCACACAGCAATGTCCCACAAACAGTCATGGATTGAAAATGACCAATTTATTATTGGTTTTGGTTTTGGAGGGATTATTATTAGGCTCTGTGTGGAGTAAGGAAACTTGCCCAAGGTTTCGCCCTCTGCCTGGAATTGAACTCAGGTCTCTCACTTGCAAAGCGAGTGCTCTAACCACTGAGCTACAGGACTCAACAACATAGCCAACAGAGCCAATGCAGCACATAGCCAACACAACCAACACAGCCAATATGGTGCAGAGAGCACAGCCAACACAGCACATAGATATCACAGCCAACAACAACAACCACTTGGATTTATATAGCGCCCTCCATGCCGGACGGCATCTCAGAGTGTTTTACGGTAACGGATCCCGGGACTGAGCCAGGGGTAGGAGGGGGACCAAAGGCACGGTTGAAAAAAAAGGTCTTCAGCAGATATCTGAATATGGGAAGGGAGGGAATGAGACGAAGGGAGTGAGGAAGGGAGTTCCAGAGCCTCGGGGCATAATGGCTGAAGGCACGGTCGCCGAGAGTGGAGTGGAGGACTCGGGGGCGAGGAGGAGACCAGAACCAGAGGAACGAAGGCAACGGGAACTGTTTTGAGGATAGAGGAGTTCAGAGAGGTTGGGGGGTGCAGAGCAGTGCAGGGACTTGAATACGAGGGTGAGGATCTTGAAATTGATCCTCTCTGGGATAGGCAACCAGTGCAGTCTGGCCAGGACTGGGGGGATCGGGGAGCGGAGTTTGGGGGTGGGGGGGAGTGCCAGGACTGGGGGGATCGGGGAGTGGAGTTTGGGGGTGGGGGGGAGGGCCAGGACTTGGGTGATGGGGGGGCTGAGTTTGTGGGTGGGGGGGAGGGCCAGGACTGGGGGGATCGGGGAGCGGAGTTTCGTGCGGGTGAGAATGTGGGCGGCAGAGTTCTGAATGATTTGGATTTTATGGATAGTAGTGAAGGGAAGACCGGTGAGGAGGGCGTTACAGTAGTACAGCCGAGAGGTGACAAAGGCCTGGACCAGAACTTCAGCAGCTTTTGGGCAGAGGTATTGGCGGAGACGGGCGATGCATCAGAGGTGGAAGAAAGCGGTGCTGGTGAGAGACCGGATATGAGGGAGGAAGGATAATTGGGGGTCGAACCTGACCCCTGGGTTGCGTATGGGTTTGGAGAGTTTTAGGGGGAGGTCGGGTAGGTGGAGGATGTGAGAGCCGTGAAATTGTAGACGTTGACGAGAGCCAAAGAGTATGGCTTCCATCTTGTCAACGTTCAGCTGAAGGAAGTTTGCGCTCATCCAGCCCCTGAGATCTGACAGGCAGAACATCAGGGGACTGGTGGGGTCGCAAAGAGAGGTGGAAAAGTAGAGTTGCATGTCATCTGCATTCATGCGGAAATGTGCTCCATGTCTGCGGATGACAGACCCAAGAGGGAGCATGAGGATCAGAAAGAGGAGGCGGGCAAGGATGGATCCTTGGGGTGTGCGGGGAGTTGATTGGCAACAACTCATTCTAGAACTTTTGAGAGGAAGGGCAGATTAGAAATGGGGCAGTAATGGCTGGGGTTTGAGGGATCTCGGGAGGGGTTTTTCAGGAGGGGGGTGATGACAGCAGTTTTGAGGGGGCAGGGACCGATCCGGAGGAGAGGGACTGGTTGATGACATCAGCCAGTAGTGGGCAGAGGAGGGGGAGCTGGGTGACCAGTAAGTTGGTGGGGAGGGGTTCGAGGCAGCAGGTGGTGGGTTTCATGGAGGTGACGGTGGGTGAGAGGGAGGAGGGAGAGATGGGGAGGAAAGAGTGTAGAATGGGGGTGGTGGTAGGAGCAGATGATGAGGAAGGTGAGGGAGGCAGAGAGGGGTTGGTGGTGGGTGACAAGGGGCAGATGGATGAGGCTGCCTGGCGGATGTTAAGTATTTTAGATGAAAAGAAGTCCATGAACCTCCTCGCACTTGGCATTTGATATGAAGATTGAGGAGGCCTGGGGGAAGGCACGGAGGAGGAAGTGGCTGGTGGAAAAAAGGATTTTAGGGTGGTGTTTAGCCTCCAAGATGATGTTGGAGTAGAAGGCCACTTTTGCGCGTGTCAAAGAACGGTGGTAGCTGTGGAGATGCTCGAGCCGCAGTTGGCGGTGAACTGTCAGGCCGGTTTTCCGCCATCTGCGCTCGAACAGCTGGGTTTGGTTTTTTTGGCAGCGGAGACGTTTGTTGTACCAGGGAATCGGGTGGGTTTGGAGATGGTTCAGGATTTTAGGGGGATAAGGGAGTTGAAGATGGAGGAGAGGCGATCATGGAGCAGCTGGACAGCTGCTTCAGATCTCCGCAGGTGGAAGGCCAGACGGATAGGATGTCTGATGATGAGAGGGACTTTGTGAGGGTCATCACAGCCAACACAGCACATAGCCAACACAGCAAACACAGAACATAGCCAACGCAGCCAACAGACCCAACACAGCACATTGACATTACAACCAACACAGCACATAGCCAACACAGCCAACTCAGCCAACACAGCCAACACAGTCAAAACAACACATAGCCAACACAGTCAAAACAGCACATAGCCAACACAGCCAATACAGCACACATAGAACACAGCCAACACAGCACACAGGCAACACAGCCAGCACAGCACACAGCCAACACAGAACATAGCCAACACAGCATGTAGCCAACAAAGCCAACGCAGCACATAGCCAATACAGCTAGCAGAGCACATAGCCAACACAGTCAACACACAGCACATAGCCAACACAGCCAACACAACACATAGCCAACACAGTCAACACACATCACATAGTCAACACAGCCAACACAGCACATAGCCAACACAGCCAACACAGTCAACATAGCACACAGCCAACACAACCCACACAGCCAACACAGCACATAGATATCACAGCCAACACAGCACATAGCCAACACAGCCAACACAGCACATAGCCAACACAGCCAACACAGCACATAGCCAACACAGCCCATAGCCAAAACAGCCAACACAGCACATAGCCAACACAGTCAACATAGCTAACAAAGCCAACACAGCCAATATAACATACAGCCAACACAGCACACAGTCAACACAGCACACAGCCAACACAGCACACAGCCAACACAGCACACAGCCAACACAACCCACACAGCCAACACAACCCACACAGCCAACACAAACCACACAGCACACAGCCAGCAGGTTGGGGGCTAAGCAGGTCAGAGAGGTAGGGATGTGCCAGTGCATGAAGGGATTTGAAACCAAGCTCTCTGCTCTAATCCCACTGGAGCTCTCCTCTCTAATCCCACTGGAGCTCTCCTCTCTAATCCCACTGGAGGTCTCTACTCTAATCCCATTGGAGCTATCCTCTCTAATCCCACTGGAGGTCTCTACTCTAATCCCACTGGAGCTCTCCTCTCTAATCCCACTGGAGCTCTCCTCTCTAATCCCACTGGAACTCTCTATAACAATAACAACTTGCATTTATAAAGCACCCCTCAATCAGGGTAGCATCCCAGTGATTTTGACAGTGGTGGAGCACGACTCCAAACTGGGGGAATGGGGAGGTGACTGTAGGCACTGTCGAATAGGAAGGTCTTCAGACATAACCTGAAAATAGGGACGGAAGGGGCAAGGCGGAGGGATAGACGAAGTTGGGAGGTGACCATAAGCACAATCAAAAAGGTGGGATTTGAAGGTGGGGAGGGAGGGAGAGGGCAAGATGAAAGGATTGTAGGGAGAGAGTTCCAGAGTTTAGGGACATAGTGGCTGAAAGCACGGCATGGGGGACATGCAGAAGCTAGAGCCAGTGGAGTGGAGGCAGCAGATTGGGGGGTAATCAGGTCAGAGAGGAAGGGAGGTGTCAGGGCATGAAGAGATTTGAAACCAAGCTTTCCTCTCTAATCCCACTGGAGCTTTCTATTCTAATCACACCAGAGCTCTCTACTCTAATCCCACTGGAGCTCTCTACTCTAATCCTACTAGAGTTCTCTACTCTAATCCCACTGGAGCTCTCTAATCTAATCCTACTGGAGCTCTCTACTCTTATCCCACTGGAGCTCTCTACTCTAATCCCACTGGATCTTCTGCTCTAATCTCATTCCCCTTGACTTCATAGAGTCATAGAATTATACAGCACAGAAGGAGGCCATTCGGCCCATTGTGTCTGTGCCGGCTCTTTGAAGAAAGCTTCCAGATCAACCCCACTCCCCCACTCTCTCCCCATAGCCCTGCAAACTTGTCCTCCCCAAATAATTATCTACTTCTCTTTTAAATGTTGTTATCGAATCGGCTTCCACCAGCTTTTCAGGCATGACTTCACCATGACGTTCCACATGCCTGATTATATTACCGTTTCAACTACGTGTTTATCCAATTGCTGTGCTGTTGGAAACCTGGTTCAGGAATCACATGTGTTAAAGCATTCTGCATTCCCTAGTGCCTGTATTTACCCCTCATGTTGCATGATTAACTTGCTAACTTATTATTGAGATAAACGGCCAAACTGCAGGACACTAAAACTTATGACATTGTAAAATGTTTTGGACATTGTACCATTGCATTAAAACATGTCATAAAATTATCACGGAGAGTTCTCAGTGAGGTGCTGAGAGTTTATACAGCATAGAAGCACGAGGCTCAGCGTGCCTGTGCTGGCTCTC